CACAGGGTTCTAATTACCCAGAGTCCCGAGCGGCTGAACGACACTCTCTCGGGTCAGTGCGGCCCACCCTCATCATTAATTACTGCGGACCTCGTCACGCTGACCGCAGACGTGTGTCATTAGCCAGAGAGTAACATATGAAACAGTAAACGTGCTCGGCGCCGCCACAATCCAAACATTTCATTTGTTCTCAATTATTCATTTCTTTGAAGGTTCAGAAGAGTCGTTAATATGGAAATCAGCTCACATGCTAACGAGCTCTTGCTATCTGATTTGGGACACATCACTGGAGCACACTAACAGATCACTGCACCGTTTCTTTCGTTCTTTGTCTACAAAGCTCAGAACTATTCAGATATATACATTAAAATCCAACATTCACAGTCCGTTTAATTTAATGTGATGTATTTCTGAGTGACTGACGGTGATTTGATCGCCATGTGCTCCAATACTAATGTCTCTTTGTCAAATATATCATTATTTGATATTATAATTATATTTTAGGCCTTTATTACATCTAACCAGGTAACCAATGTTAGATTGGACCTGCATAATTATTTTTTTTTAAATGCACAAAAGCTGCATTACCTAGCAGCAGATCATCATATTATACTGATTTCTGAAGATCATGTGACACTGAAGACTGGAGGAATGATGCTGAAAATACAGCTGCGCATCACAGAAATACATTACAGTTTAACACATATTCACATAGAAAACAGTTACTGTAAATTGAAATAATATTTAAATTTTGTTCTGTTTTTACTGTATTTAAAAAAAAAATGCAGCCTTGGTGAGCAGAAGAGTCTTCTTTCAATAACATTAAAAAATCTTACCGACCCCAAACAACAACAAACCCTTGACCTCTGACCTGCAGCGGCGGCATAATCCGCACCGAATCAAACAAGAGTCCAGAAGCTCCAGAAAACCTCAATCGTATTTACTAACATGCACGAACTGTGCTCTAACACATTTAAACCCAGTACTGAGCAGTACTTGTCTGACAGCAGATATCCTGGACGCAGACGGAGGAGGCTGCTCGTTACTCTAAAGAAGGTTAATCCATTTAACTCCTGCATATTGATATGCCAATTACATCTAATTGAGGAGGAGGCATCAGTCAAGGTAATAGTGCAGAAAGAGTGTCGGCGCGCATCGGGCCGCGGGAACACGTGTAAGATCGTCTCTTCTAATTGGGCCGGAGCGACTCGGGCAAACGCAGTGAGCTGTGCGACTCCAGACCAGACACATCCGTCAACAGCGCATCCCATAATGCACCTCACCTCCCCACGCTGGGCCTCGCCTGAGCGTGAGGGAGAGGACGGGACGGGACGGGCGCTCAGGAACATTTAGTCTGGAAGCGGCTGGATCAGTGAATGAAGCACAAATAAACCCAGCAGAGATCTGTAGAGTCTGTTCAGAACTCTTCTGCTTTCAGTGTTATTGAGAGACTGTTATGGTGTTTATTAATAGTTTGAATTCGTTTAGTCATTTGCATTTTTATTTATTTTCTTTTAATATGTATAAGATGTATTCATTTGTATGCCTGTTTTAGTTATTTTAGTACATCAAGTTTTGTAGAATCATATAGGATTATTTATATTTATTTAAAATTAGTTTTTAGTTTTATATATTCCCTTTACATTTTTATTTTTCTTTGTCATTTTTATTTTGTATTTGTATTTATTTTGTTTTGTAATAAGTCTATATAGTATTTATTCGTTTGTATGTCTGGTTTAGTAATTTTAGTACATCAAGTTAAACTAAATGAAAACGAGTATTTTAGAATCATTGAGATACTACTGTAGGGTTTTTATATTTATTTAAAATTAGTTTTTATTTTTTATTTTCCATTTTTATTTCATTTTAGTTCAAGTTTTAGTAATTTTGTTGTGTTTTTAATTTTTTAACAATAATAATTTTTGATACATTTGTCAATTTTATTTCAGTTTTAGTTATTTTAGTACATCAAGCAAAACTAAATGCTAATGAGAAATAATAATGAGAATGAAACATTTTGGAATCAAATCTTTTGGAATAACAAAATTATTTGTATTTGTTTATTTCAGTAAAAAAAAAATTAAATTTTTTATTATTTTAGTTTTAGTTAACTATAATAACCCTGCTCATTACTTCATACAGACAGCTACTTGTTTTAATTTTTTTTTTTTTTATGTATAAATATTTGGACTATAAATATGTTGGCTGCACAGTATTTTTCAGTATTTGTGAACATAATTAATCTGTACTGTCTCTGCCAACTGTTGTACAATATTTTATCATGCAGTGAGGTCAAAATCAATTGCAACACTAGCTATAATGCAAAAAATTGTGACTGAATTGAAAATTGTAAAAACATGCATTACAATTGTGCTTGTGTTTCAAGAGTGCAGCAGAATCAATGTGAAGTCATGATTGAAATTAGTTTTTAGTTTTATATTTTCCCTTTACATTTTTATTTTTCTTTGTCATTTTTATTTTGTATTTGTATTTATTTTGTTTTGTAATAAGTCTATATAGTATTTATTCGTTTGTACGTCTGTTTTAGTTATTTTAGTACATCAAGCAAAACTAAATGCTAATGAGAAATAATAATGAGAATGAAACATTTTGGAATCAAATCTTTTGGAATAACAAAATTATTTGTATTTGTTTATTTCAGTAAAAAAAAATTTAAATTTTTTATTATTTTAGTTTTAGTTAACTATAATAACCCTGCTCATTACTTCATACAGACAGCTACTTGTTTTAATTTTTTTTTTTTTTATGTATAAATATTTGGACTATAAATATGTTGGCTGCACAGTATTTTTCAGTATTTGTGAACATAATTAATCTGTACTGTCTCTGCCAACTGTTGTACAATATTTTATCATGCAGTGAGGTCAAAATCAATTGCAACACTAGCTATAATGCAAAAAATTGTGACTGAATTGAAAATTGTAAAAACATGCATTACAATTGTGCTTGTGTTTCAAGAGTGCAGCAGAATCAATGTGAAGTCATGATTGCAGCTCGTGCTGAAGTCCAATTACGACTAAATGCAGACGAATGTCATCACGCAAACTTGGCGGCATCCGGAGACACAGACATGATTAATGGACTTATCCATAAATAAAATGCATCAAAGTGTCAAAGTTCCTGCATTACAAGACAATAAAACCTGTTCAGCAAACATTTGCAGAGACATCCGTGAGTAAAACACGGTAAATGATCTTCTAAATGGTCTTCATACACATGCTAAACAAATACTCGCATTGCATCACAGAAACCATCCTCAGCTTGACGAGTTTCTCTTCTTAAGTCTTTGTGGAAGACTGGAGATCTCCCGAGAAGAGCAGAGCTGTGAAGAATTAAAGTGCATCAGGATTCATTCAGAGAGTGAGAAGAGACTCAAATAAAGTGTTCAAGTCATCTCAGAGACTCTCAGGTGTAATGAATCTTCTGAACACACTCTGAAGGACAACCCTTTTCTCACGAGGGGCTTGTTTTACGGTTTACTAATGAATAGCTCACTCCGGTGCAAAGTACGGATGACTGTTTCACGGTTCTCGTGTGAAAAGACGCTTCGCTGAAAGTTTAAAACTTAGTTTCATTGTTTTATTGCACTGTACTGCTTTTGAACCAGATATCAGTCCACTATTTCAACATCAAAAAAAGAAAAATAAATTTTTAAAAATACTAATTTAATATTTAACAAGGAATATATATTTGTCATACTTTACATTATTGATGTAATGCCTAACTTGAATTTAATTTGTGATTTTCACATATTTACATTTATTTCGACAAAATATTATAGATTTTTTTTTTTTTCCAGAATCAGAAGAAGAATTTTTCTCGGCTAGTTATTGGTTATCGGCCATAACACAAAAGTAATAATTGGCTTATTTCTATCAGACGGAATTTTAGTAATAGTTTTTAGTTTTATATTTTCCCTTTTCATTTTAAAGTTTTAATATTTTTTCTTTGTGTTTGTCATTTTAATGTCCGTGATTTTGTTTCTGATATGGTTTATTGTTTCTATATTTGTAATATTTAATATTTTAATATTTGTTAAATATTTGTTAATATAGTACATCAAGTGAAACTAAATTAAAACAAATATTGCAGAATCATTAAGATACTATTATAGTTTTTTTATTAATATTTTGAATCACTGAATATTTTTTATATCAATGCAAACTAAACCATTTGAACAGAATTATTTGTTTGATGAGCAAAGACTAATTTCAGCATGCATGTTAAGTCTACTTTTTAACTTGTTATGAAATATAACAATAATTCAGATTTTTGGCACAGAATCCTTTGAAATCCTTCAGATCATTAGCTGATGTGAAGAAAAACATTTATTAGCTATTTTGCAAACAATTGCATATTAAACAGCAGCCAATAAAAAGACGTCAGACTTCACGAGGCACCAGTAGGTTTTGGTGTGTTGTAAAATAATGTTATTAGTATGTTGTATGACGGTTGTCGAAATGTTATACGAAGGTTGTCATTATGTTGTACGAAGGTTGTCATTATGTTGTACGATGGTTGTCAGTATGTTGTACGATGGTTGTCGATATGTTGTACGAAGGTTGTAGTTATGTTGTACAATGGTTGTCGGTATGTTGCATGATGGTTTTTAGTATGTTGCACGAAGGTTGTCAGTATGTTGTAAAATGGTTGTTAGTATGTTGTACAACAGTTGGCGGTATGTTGTACGAAGGTTGTTATTATGTTGTACGATGGTTGTTAGTATGTTGTATGAAGGTTATAGTTTTGTTGTATGAAGGTTGTTGTTATGTTGTATGAAGGTTGTCGTTATGTTGTACGATGGTTGTCGGTATGTTGCATGAAGGTTGTCAGTATGTTGTAAAATGGTTGTTAGTATGTTGTACAAAAGTTGGCGGTATGTTGTAAGAAGGTTGTCGTTATGTTGTACGATGGTTGTTAGTGTGTTGTACGATGGTTGTCAATATGTTGTACGAAAGTTGTAGTTATGTTGTACGAAGGTTGCAGTTATGTTGTACGAAGGTTGCAGTTATGTTGTACGATGGTTGTCACTATGTTGTACGATGGTTGTTAGTATGTTGTACGATGGTTGTTAGTATGTTGTATGAAGGTTATAGGTATGTTGTATGAAGGTTGTTGTTATGTTGTATGAAGGTTGTCGTTATGTTGTACGATGGTTGTCGGTATGTTGCATGGAGGTTGTTAGTATGTTGTAAAATGGTTGTTAGTATGTTGTACAAAAGTTGGCGGTATGTTGTACGAGGGTTGTTCTTATTGTGTG